AAGCAAAACGGGGGAGTCCGGATCCGGTTGTGTTGTTACGATCGGTTTTCCCTTGCAAAAAATAAGCTACAGTGGACATTTCTTGTTCTAACATAACCAAACTTCAAGAATCCCTTGCAAAAAATGAAGTAAAGTGGACATTCGCGCGCGCAAGACGAAATCCTTCCAAAACCTTAGTTTTCGTAGCGATTTTAACATAAAAACATCAAAAAAACAATGGTTTTTCAAAAAAAAAATGTCAAAATTCATCCCGCGCGCTCTTGCGGATTCGTAGGAAACCCAACACTTTTTAATCATTTCTGTCAAACGGGCTTTTGCGAGCAACTTTTTCGAACTTCTGCAACAACGGTTGCGCACCTGCCAGGGCCATCATCCCTGTCAAATAATACCATGCGGGACACATTCGTTTTTTCTTCGCGCGCGCACGCCGTCGTCGTCGGCCGCGGGGCCCTGAATAGTAGCCACGGTCGTCCGCATGCCACGAAGTGAAGTGTCCGAACGTCATAGGGCGGGAAGCTGGGTGTGGGTGGTGGCGAAGAGTCGTTTGGAAATTTGGTAGAGCTTGAACCGGCCCCCCCACAAAGTGGGGGTATTGCCCGCCTCCTATGAAAACCCTGGCACTGGTGAGAACGGTGTGTCCCCACGTGCTAGTAATTGTTGTTGTTGTTGTTGTTGTTGTTGCTGTTGTTGCTGTTGAACTCTCACTTCTGCAAAATAATTGTTGTTGATGTCCCCCGTCCGGTGCACATTGATTTTCTCGATTGAAGTGCCCTTCCCGGGGCTCGCACCCTGTTTTTGCTTTATCAGGGAAAGTATTGGGCGTCAAGCTGTGTCGATGGCCCCCGGTTTGCAACAACAACGGTTCCCGCCTGATACTTCCTCGCAAAGTATTGAAGAATCGCGCTCTCGCTTCGGAAGTCCTTCCAATTTACCACCGGATCGCGGCTCCAGTTTGATACGTCCTTACAATTTATTCAGATGCCGCTCCTAGACACTCAGGAATAACGCTCCCGCTACATATTGCCTGGCGGTTCAAGCAACATGTACGTTTCAACGAACCGGCCGCTCGACCCGCCCGTCTGGGCCTGCCCGCCCGACCAGCCCGTTAGGGACTGCAGTCGCCGCTCGCTGCCCTTCGCCCGCCATCGACGGCCCTCGCTGCCTGTGTTGGTTCCGCGGTCGCCTTCGCTCGCTGCCCTTCGTGGCCCCGTTGCTGCCCTCAGTGGCCCTGTCGCTGCCTATTGTGGCCCCGCATTATACGCCCTTCGTGACCCCCGCTCGCAGTTGCCCGTCGTGGCCCCGCTGTCGCCGTTTGTGGCCCTCTCGCTGCCCTTCGTGGCCCCTTTGCTGCCCTCAGTGGCCCCGCTGTCGCCCGTCGCGGCCCAGTATACGTATGCCCTTCGTGGCCCCCGCTCGTTCGCGCCTGTCGTGGCCCCAAATGCATGCTGTCGCCCTTCGTGGCCCCCTCTCTGCCTTTCGTGGCCCCGTCTCTGCCGTCAGCGGTCCCGTCGCTGCCCTCTGTGGTCCCCGCTCGCTCGCGCCCTTCGTGGTCCCATGCGCATGCGTTTCGTCGCCCCGCTGTCGCAATTCGTCGCCCCCTCGCTGCCCTTCATGGCCCACTTTCTGCGCTCAGTGGCCCCGCTGTCGCCCTTTCTGGCCCCATATATGTATGCCGCCCTTTCTGGCCCCATATATGTATGCCCTTCGTGGCCCCCGCTCGTTCGCGCCCGTCGTGGCCCCATATGCAAGCCCTTCGTGGCCCCGCTGTCGCTCTTCGTGGCCCCCTGTCTGCCCTTCGTGGCCCCGTTTCTGCCCTCAGCGGCTCCGTCGCTGCCCCCTGCGGCCCCCCTATACGCATGCCAGTCGGGGCCCCCGCTCGTTCGCTCCCGTCGTGGCCCGCGCCAACAACGGCCCCCACCTGATTTACTGAGACCCTACTCTTGTCCACTCCATCCCAGTCCACTCCACATCCCCGCGCCCCTCTCGACACGGTGTCAGTTCCCACTATCCTTCCGCCCCACCCTCCCAACACCCCACTTTTTTTCAAGGTTCCACGAAATTTGTTTCTGACACAAGTTCGCAGCTGCACGTCCCCTCGTGGAAGTATCCACGATATGTTCTGTCAAGGGGGTGGCACGTGGCGTTGTTTACGGCGCGACCCATGGCGAAACGTATTGTTAACCTGTGTTGGAGTGGCTGGCGCAAGCCATGGCGCAAGCTGAATCGCCACTCGCAGCGCCAATCATCGTCCTCCCTCCTTCTTTCCCCTCCCCTCCCTTCCTCCGATCCCTTCGTCCTCAGTTTCCCCCGTTATCTGTTGCCCTTCGATTTCAAGGGCTTCACCAACCACACGCGGCAGGGAACATACCCCCCAAAAGGAGGTACGATCGAAGACGAACAGGGCGGGTGTCCAGGGTTTGGTATTGAATGACGCGTGAGCAGATAAGAGCGAACAGTATTAGAACGAATGTTGTTGTTATTGGTGTTATTGTTGAACTCTCACTTCTGGAGAATAAGTATAGCTTTGTTGCCAAGCATTTCCATACTCGTGCAACATACAAGGCATAAAATATGCACCCGCCTCAGGATCGCCTGGCAACGGCTATGCCGTGCCAGGGCCGCCGAGAAGAAGTTGACTGCGCAACTTCCTTTGGTCTCCTTTCTGGTCTAGGACTGAGTATGCCCACTCTTTCGGGCACCCCTGGCCCAGTCCGTCTCCAGCGTTTCGGCGTGTGGTTGGCTATCCTCTTCAGGACCCGCCACAACCAAGCACACGGGGCAGGCCGACGCTGTCACGAACGACACCTCTGTTTCCGACTGTGCGAAAACACCACGCGTACCTCTTGACTGCAAAGATACACTGTGTCTGGCTGTTTTCTGGGACTCCTTCGTGCACACCAAAATTGCCAGAAGATGTCAAGTTAGGCTCTGAGAACCTGCTGTGTTGGCCTTCAAGGAAGGGAGGAAACAACTATTATTGTTGATCCCCCCCGTCCGGTGCACATTGTTTTTCTCCATTGAAGTGCCCTTCCCGGGGCTCGCACCCTGTTTTTTCTAAGGGGAAGTCTTGAAGGTCAAACTGTGTCGTTGGCCCCCCGGTTACAACAACAACGGCTACCGCCGAAGACTTCCTCACAATTTAGCCAGGACCCCCGCTCCCGCCCGAGACTTCCTTGCATTTTATTCAGGAATCGCGCTCTCGCTTGGGACTTTCTTGAGACTTTCTTACAATTCATTCAGGAATCGCTCTCTCGCCGTTCTGGAGGCGCGCTCTCGCTGGAAACGTGCTTGCAATTCACTGAAGAATATCGTCCTTGCGGTGGAAATTCTTGCAATTTATTCAAGCGCTGCGCTCCCGATACCCAGGCACCCAGGAGTTGCGCTCACGTTCAGGACTCCCTCACAGATTACCTAAGAATCGGGATCTCGCTGCCCTTCGTGGCCCCGTTGCAGCCCTTCGTGGCCCCCTCGCGTTGTTTCGTGGTCCCGTTGCAACCCTTCGTGGCCCCCTCGCTGCCCTTCGCGGCCCCGCTGCAGCCCCTCGTGGTCTCCACGCTGCCCTTCGCGGCCCCGTTGCAGCCCTTCGCGGCCCCCTCGCTTTGTTTCGTGGCCCCGTTGTAGTCCTTCGTGGCCCCGTCGCTGCCCTTCGTGGCCCCGTCGCAGCCGTTCGTGGCCCCGTTGCAGCCCTTCGCGGCCCCCTCGCTGCCCTTCGTGGCCCCCATCGCTGCTCTTCGTGGCCCCATATATGTATGCCCTTCGTGGCCCCCGCTCGTTCGCGGCCGTAGTGGCCCCATGTGCATGCCCTTCGTGGCCCCGCTGTCGCCCTTTGTGGCCCCCTCGCTGCCCTTCGTGGCCCCGTTGCTGCCCTCAGTGGCCCCGTCCGTGCCCTCCGCGGCCCAGTATACGTATGCCCTTCGTAGCCCCCGCTCGTTCGCGCTTTTCGTGGCCCCATGTGCATGCTCTTCGTGGCCCCGCGGTCGCCCTTCGTGGCCCCCTCGCTGCCCTGCGTGGCCCCGTTGCTGCCCTCAGTGGCCCCGTCCTTGCCCTCCGCGGCCCAGTATACGTATGCCCTCCGTGGCCCCCGTTCGTTCGCGCCAGTAGTGGTCCCATGTGCATGCCCTTCGTGGCCCCGCTGTCGCCGTCTGTGGCCCCCATCACTGTCCTACGTGGCCCAGTTGCTACCTTCAGTGGCCCCGTCGTTGCCTTTTGTGGCCCCGCATGAGCCCTTCGTGGCCCCCGATCGTTCGCGCCCGTCGTGGCCCCATGCGCATGCCCTTCGTGGCCCCGTTGTCGCCCTTCGTGGCCCCCTTCCTGCCCTTCCTGGCCCCGCTGTCGCCCTTCGTGGCCCCCTCGCTGCCCTTCGTGGCCCAGTTGCTGCCCTCAGCGGCCCCGTCCTTGCCCTCCGCGGCCCAGTATACGTATGCCCTTCGTGGCCCCCGCTCGTTCGCGCTCTTCGTGGCCCCATACGCATTCCCTTCGTGTCCCCGATGTCGCCCTTCGTGGCCTACTTCGTGTCCTTGTGGCCCTGCTGTCGTTCTCTCTCGCTCTCGCTTTCGCTTGTCGTCGTCGTCGCCGTTGTCGTCGTCGTCGTCGCCGTCGTCGTCGACGTCGTCGTCGTCGTCGTGGTCGGTCCCCTGTCCGTCCCTCTTGGGGTCGGGCCGACGGTCCGCGGCCGCCCCGCCGATCAGCGCTGCCGCTGGCCAGGCCGACGGTCCGCGGCCGCTCCGCCGCTTGCCGGGGCCCGGCCTGCAGGGAAGAAAGGTGCACCCCCCAAAAGGGGTTCGATCGAAGACGAAGAGGGCGGGTATCGAGGGTTTGGGAAATACGTGCTGGTGGACACTCGAGCAGATAAGGGCGAACAGTCTTAAAATGATTGTTGTTGTTCTGGGCGTGGCGACGAGAAGCCACCCAGAGTCGGCCAAACGGCAAAGTCGCTCAACGAATCGATCCTCGAATCTCGATCCTCGAACCTAGATCCTCCTACTCCCTAACCCCCCCACCGTGCTCAGCGATGCGCCCAGCGACGAGCACAGCGAGTCACCCAGCGCGACGCTGCCCAGCGAGCTCTCGCCCCACACCTAGGCGGCACTGGGGCGCAGCGGAGAGTCGTCGCCGCCTGCGCCGCTGCCGCCACCGCCGCCGCCGCCGTCGTCGTCGTCGTCGTCGGCGTCGCAGCGCTGTCGTCGTCGTCGTCGGAGTGGTGGTCGTCGTAGGAGTGGTTGTCGTCGGCATCGTCGTCGTCTTCGTCATCGTGGGCGTCGTCGTCGTTGTAATCGTCGTCGTTAGCCTCGGCGTCGGCGTCGGCGTCGGCGTCGGTGTCGGCGTGGGCGTCGGCGTCCGTCGGCGTCGTCGAGGGCGTTGGCGTCGGAGTCAACGTCGTCGTCGCCGTCCTCGTCGAGGTCGTCGCCATCTTTGACGAGGTGCGCGTGGCCGTCGTCGTCATCGTCGTCGTCGTCGTCAGCGGCGGCGGCGTCGTCGTCGGCGTCGTCGTCGCCTTCGTATCAGTCGTCATCGGCGTCGTCAGCGTCGGCGTCGGCGTCGGAGTCGGCGTCGGCGGCGGAGTCCGAATTGGCGCTGACATCGGCGTCGTTGTCGGCGTCGGCATCGGCGTCGGCATCGTCGTCGTCGTCGTCGTCGTCGGCGTCGTCGCTGCTGCCGCCGCCGCCGAGGTTGTCGTCGTCGTCGTCGTCATCGTCGTCGTCGTCGGCGTCGGTGTCGGCGTCGGCGTCGGCGTCGGCGTCGGCGTCGGCGTCGTCGGCGTCGGCGTCGTCGTCGCTCTCGTCGAGGTCGTCGCCATCGTCGACGAGGTGCGCGTGGTCGTCGTCGCGGAGTGCGTGGTCGAGGTCGAGGTCGTGGCGGGGGTGAAGTCGTCGTCTACGTCGAAGGGCGTCGGCGTCGGCGTCGGAGTCGGAGTCGTCGTCGTCATCGTCGAGGTCGTCGCCATCGTCGACGAGGTGCGCGTGGCCGTCATCGTCGTCGTCGTCGTCGTCGGCGGCGGCGACATCGTCGTCGTCATCGTCGGCGTCGTCGGCGTCGTCGTCGGCTTCGTAGTAGTCGTCGTTGGCGTCGTCGGCGTCGCCGTCGCCGTCGGAGTCGGCATGGGCATCGGCGTCGGAGTCGAAATTGGCGCTGGCGTCGGCGTCGGCGTCGGCGTCGGCATCGTCGTCGTCGTCGTCGCCGCTGCCGCTGCCGCCGTCGTCGTCGTCGTCATCGTCGTCGTCGGCGTCGGCGTCGGCATCGGCGTCGGGATCGCCGTCGGCGTCGTCGTCGGCGACGGCGTCGGCGTCATCGTCGTCCTCGCCGAGGTCGACGCAATCTTCGACGAGGTGCGCAAAGTCGTCGTCGCGGAGTGCGTGGTCGAGGTCGAGATCGTGGCGGGGGTGGTCGTCGTCGTCGTCGAGGGCGTTGGCGTCGGCGTCGGAGTCGGCGTCGGAGTCGTCGTCCTCGTCGAGGTCGTCGCCGAGGTGCGCGTGGCCGTCGTCGTCGTCATCATCGTCGTCGGCGGCGACATCGTCGTCGTCGTCGTCGTCGTCGGCGTCGTCGGCTTCGCAGTAATCGTCTTCGGCGTTGTCGGAGTCGCCGTCGTCGTCGGAGTCGGCGTCGGCGTCGGCGTTGGAGTCGGCATTGGCGCTGGCGTCGGCGTCGGCGTCGGCGTCGCCGTCGGCGTCGTCATCGTCGTCGTCGCCACTGCCGCCGACGCCACCGTCGTCGTCGTCGTCGTCGTCGTCGTCGTCGTCGGAATTAGCGCCGGCGTCGGCGTCGGCGTCGGCGTCGGCATCGTCGTCGTCGTCGTCGTCGCAGCTGCCGCCGCCGCCGTCGTCGTCGTCGTCGTCATCGTCGTCGTCGTTGGCGTCGTCGTCGGCATCGGCGTCGGCATCGGCGTCGGCGTCGTCGTCGACGTCGGCGTCGGCGTCGGCGTCCGCGTCGGCGTCGAGGTCGTGGACATCTGCGACGAGGTGCGCGTGGTTGTCGTCGCGGAGTGCGTGGTCGAGGTCGAGGTCGTGGCGGGGGTGGTTCTGGTCGTCGGCGAGGGCGTTGGCGTCGGCGTCGGGGTCGGCGTCGTCGTCGTCGCTCTCGTCGAGGTCGTCGCCATCGTCGACGAGGTGCGCGTAGCCGTCGTCGTCATCATCGTCGTCGTCGTGGGCGGCGACATCGTCGTCGGCGTCGTCGGCGGCTTCGCAGTAATCGTCGTCGGCGTCGGCGTCGCAGTCGGCGTCGGCGTCGGAGTCGGAATTGGCGCTGCCGTCGGAGTCGGCGTCGCCGTCGGAGTCGGCGTCGTCGTCGTCGCCGCTGCCGCTGCCGCCGCCGCCGCCGTCATCGTCGTCGTCCTCGTCGTCGTCATAAGCGTCAGCGTCGGCGTCGGCGTCGGCGTCGTCGTCGGCATCGTCGTTGACGGAGTCGGCGACGGCGTCGGCGTCGTCGTCGGAATCGGAATTGGCGCCGGCGTTGGCGACAGCGTTGGCGTCGGCGTCGGCGTCGGCGTCGTCGTCGCCGGAGTCGGCGACGGCGATGGCGTCGTCGGCGTCGTCCTCGTCGAGGTCGTCGCCATCGTCGACGAGGTGCGCAAAGTCGTCGTCGCCGATTGCGTGGTCGAGATCGAGGTCGTGGCGGGGGTGGTGGGCGTAGTCGCCGTCGAGGGCGGAGGGGTGGGGCACGAGGGAGGAAGGAGAGGAGAACTGCGGGGACCTCCAGAGGCCTCCTGGGGGCCACCCAGCTGGGGCTGGGTGCAACCACGGGATCGCAGAGTATCGCCGATGCATCGGTGATGCGGCGTGATCCCCCGACCCCCTCCACTCCAACCCCATATTTGGTGGACAGCAAGAAGCCGATGCCGCTACTCCCTGGACCTCTCTCGGGGTGCGTTCTGACTAGGACTCCGAAGGGCATCCAGACGTGGCGACGAGGGTGGGCAGCGGTATCGGTATCTTCCCTCCCCGAACATCTCGGCAGGCGGCCTTGAGCACCGCAGACCAGCGTAGTGCCCTTGATTGGTATTGAAACGGTGGGAGCGTTTTGAATTCGATGTCAAACTAACTAACGGAAGCGACCAACAACATCCCGGGAAAACGGGACAACTGTCATGTCAATAGCGATGGTTCGAGACGGAAAAAAGCAGCTCCCCCCCCCCCCCCCCAAAAAAAACACGGCAATACATAATGGAACCAAACCGAAAACGGCGACCCATACACGAGAAAAAAACGTAGATCTCGACCCCGCCCAAAACACAATCATCCTAGTGGCTTCCCTCCCCTTTGCATTGATCCTGCCCCGTCGCGCCCCAGCTGCCATCGGCGCCGCCGCAACCAGGGCTGGGGAGGCCGCCACGCTCGCCGGCGAGCGCGCAACCTCCAAGATGGTGGTGCTGCTGCTGCTGCCCCAGCGCGCCGCCGCGGTCAGCGCCGGGGAGGCCGCCAAGCTGGCCGGCGAGCGCGACACGTCCTGGGCGCCGGCTTAGATGATTTTGAACACGCTGGGGGGGCGTTCTTCTTTTCGCTGTCCAAATCGACGTTTGTTTGTCCGTGTGGGGGTCTGTTGCTTTTCCGCTTTGCAAGTATCGTCGCACCGTTTTCGGCTCGATTCCGTTTTGTACTGCCGTTGTTTCTCTGCTTTGGAAGGACCCCCGCGTCTTTAACATGCGCCGGGCCCCGGCCCGCTCTTTCCAGGCTGGCAGCGGGCCCAGCAGGCGGCAGCTCAGATGGGGGGGAAAGGAGCCGATGCCGCTGCCCGCGCCTCGTTGAGGCAACGGTGGCCCTCCCTGGCGTTCTTCCCCCCCTCGTTTCGGCCTCCTGGAAGCTTCGCGTCGCCGCGGCGGCATCCGCCCCTGGTCAGGAGGCACCCCGGGAGAGGTTCGGGAAGCGTTCGTCGAGGAGTGTGCCCAAGATGCTTCCGACCCTGGAAGGTCCCTTGTCTATCTGGCCGGGGGTGATGTCCATGGCCAAGCCTCAACTGGTGTTCCCCCGGATTTCAGACCCCGGACTCCCTCTCAAAGGGTTCCTCATCCAACGCCCAGACCGTAGGTCCCCCGGAAGGGCGGGCGCAGGCTGCAGAGCGGCGGGGGCATGAGCCGAGGTGGCGTCCCCCTGTGCGGGGAGGCGCGCTGTCGAGCGGCGCTCGGGAAGAGGCGGGGGCCCGGCGGAGAGAAAGAGGGCACACACGCTGCAGTGCAAATGCGAGGGGCCTCCCCTATACAGCAGACACCTCAAGTCCCGCGACCCTGTCGGCGTGTGTTCGGGGGGGTCCTGGGGTGTTCGTCCCGAGGTTGTCCTGGGAGACGCTTTTCGATTCGAAGCTAGGTTCCTTTCCCTGCGTCCACCTGGGGCTCTCCAAGCTCGCCAACTCGAGGTGACTTGGCCCAGTTGGCAATCGAGTCGAAGGGGAACACCTTCCATTGTGATCCTTTCCCCGCCGGGGAGGGGTCCTCCGGGTGAGGGGGAGGGTGTCCCAGGGGCGAGCGCCGGGCCCCTCCCCCCCCCCGCACCCCGCACCCCACGGCCACACCCTCCCTGGGCTGACCCGCACCCCGCTGGCATGCGAATTATGGGAAACCCGAAATCACCACGCAAAAGGAAGGTTTTAAGTCGATTTAGAAGGCAAAAAATCCACCCCCATCATAACCACCCCGACAAGCGAGGCCGTTTAGTAACCGCACCCAAAGGAGGAATCGAACAGGGCAGGGCTTCTAGCAAACGCCCAGGGCCGTTGAGTAAAAGCCAATTGTCCGGTGCAGGTGGTTTTTCCTCCCTTGACGATTCAGGGTGTCCCATAATTCTGACTTATAGGAAACCCATCGCCGGACGACTGCCCACCGCCAAACCCTCCTGGGGTGACCCGGGCGATGCTGAGGCGGGCTTGGCAATCTTTGGACCACCCGGGCCCGCGGAGCCCACTCGGGGCCAACCTCGGCCAACGTCGGCACTCTCGGGAAGCTCGCAGGCCGCCTTCGAGGCCTATCTGGGCCGCGCCCAGGAGGCCCAAATCGGTTGAAACTGCACAGCTGCGGCGTGGTATTATTATCAGTCTCGCTGCATCGGTTGCAAGATGGTCCAAGACGACCCACCCCAAGATGGCCCAGAGGCCCACACGGGGTCCCAAGAGGCCCTCAAAACGGCCCCAATGGGGATTCCAAAAGAGCGCGCCACGGTCGACTCTGGAGGAGGGACGGTGGCTCAACCTGCCCCGTTTCGGGCTCCCCCCTGCCCTCGGGGATCGACCCATCTCGAAAGGTCATACGGCTGGGGAGCCCAGCGACGTGCATGAATATGCCCCGCAATTCCTAATGCCGACCTCATGTCACGAACGCTCGCGTAATGTACTCTCTCGTAACTTAGCAGACGAACACCTATCTAAAATGTTTGTTTCCGCCATCGCGGACGCCTGCCCCAGGGCGGCTGGAAAGATGATGCCCTGGTGTACCACCGCATGCACACAAATTGTCAAGCCTCCTTAGGACAGGCGTCCCCGATGGCGGAAACCAGTTATTTCACACTGCTCTTCGCCCACTGCATATGCCCATGCGCGTGTACGTGGTTGTTCCGGGAGCGAGGGGCCCGCTCCAGAACCCCCGAATTCAAGAATGTTGGCACCTCTGGGGGGGGGGGGGGGGGCAGCTTCTGCTTCCGCCACCCTCCGCTCTCGGAGCCGCCCTGCGCTTTGCCCCCGCCAGCCGTAGGCTGGCACTCCGCCAGCAAAAGAAGGTACGACTCCTCCAGGCGGAGATTTTTGCGCAAAGCCCCAAGGGGAAGATGGGGTCGAGGGTTTGTTCCCAACCATCCTGTGGTGTTGGGTCCTCGTTTTGAAGAGACAGCGCCCCGCGTCTCCTTCCTTCTTTCCTTCCTTCCTTCCTTCCTTCCTCCTCCCTCCTCCTATCCACCCCACCCCTATCCTATCCACCCCCCCCCTCCTCCAGGCGGAGACTTTTGCGCAAAGCCCCAAGGGGAGCATGGGGTCGAGGGGTTGTTTTTACTTACGCGAACAGCCGATGATCAACGCACCACTTGTCCCGTCGTCAGGTCTCGGTGCAACGCTAGGCCTGCGACGTGGTCCAGCCAGGCAGATTGGAGTATCGGGATATCGGCAATTACGCCAACTCTAAGACATGTTGGTCGTAGCGAAACGTCGTGTACAGTGCCTGTCATGTTGGGTGACTGCGCCAGGCGATCGACCGCTCGCTCGCTCCTCCTCCTCCTCCGTTCGTTGCAATTTACCCCCCTCCTCCCCCGGGGTTCCGCCTCCTCCTCCTCCTCCTTTTCCTCCTCCTCCTCCTCCTTCTCCTCCTCCCTCCTTTCCTCCCACCCTCCCTACCTCCCTCCCTCCTCCAGGGTCCTCCGCCAGAAGCGCGGCAAGAGAAAGAAAGACCTGCCGTGGAGGGTCCTTCAGAGCACCGCCCTGGCCCCCGCCAACGCCATAGGCCTGTCGAAGCCGTGCCTGAAGCGATGCCGGCTGGTGGCCACCTCCAGCACCCTCCACTCCCTCGATTTGAGCACCTCCTCGTCCTCCTCTTCATCCTCTTCCTCCTCTTCTTCCTCCTCCTATCCTGACACTCCCTCGATTTGAGCACCTCCTCTGCCTCCTCTTCCTCCTCTGCCCCCTCTTCCTCCTGCTGCCACTCTTCCTCCCCTTCCTCCTCCTCCTCCTCTTCCTCCTCCTCTCCTGACACTCCTCAATGTGAGCACCTCCTGGTCGTCTTCTTCCTCTTCTTCCTCCTGCTACCACTCTTTCTCCTCTTCCTCCTCTACCTCCGCCTCCTCTTCCTCGACACTCCTCAATTTGAACACCTCCTCGTCCTCCTCCTCCTGCTACCCCTGGCTGGCTTCTGGGCCATACCGCGCTGGGCGCCAAGCGGCCATGCGGGACGATTCCAGGCGAATCGAAAGCTTATCGGGGACGAGGAGCAGGTGGAAAACACACTGGGCGTAGGAAGGAGGAGGCGGAGATAGAGGTCGAGGAGAGGAAGACACTCCCGTGAGCAAACCTGAAGCCACTCTCGGCATGCCCACGACTGCCCGAATATCATCGTCGCGATTCTCGGCATTCGGAGGGCATGAGATGTTTTCAATGCTGCTGGTGCTGGTGCTGAAGACAGCAAGAGCAAGGAGGGGGATGCAACCTTCAAAGCGCTCCTCCTCCCCTTCTCTTCCCTCATCCCATTCCCTTTCCTGTCCTCCCTTGTTTCAGGCCGCTCTACCTCTCTGCTCCATCCACTCCTCCTGGCCTTCCCGTTGACCTCAGGCTCTCTCGTCGCGGGACGCCCCCTGTGGCAGCAGCTGGATGAGCGATAGCGCTTGAATCTACTACGTGACCCATCACACCCCGCCCTGCCCGCTCGCTGCCTTGCGCTTCTTCAAGGGACAACCCTTGCCACGGTTCCTCGCCTGGGCGATGGTTCCGGAAACGAGCGTCCCACCTCGCTACCTCGCGTTTCTCAGTTGCCATCGCCTCTTTGCCCCATTGAGGGTGCCAAGGATGCCTGTCCAGCTCGATCTCTTCCAGGCAGACAGCTG